TTTTTAAAATTTAGACTGTGTAGGGGAATCAGCAGATACTGATCCTGTGGATATGGGAGTCCAATTGTACTACAACATCTGAAAGACCAACAGATTTGTTTCAATGTCAGCTTTCATGGATTAAAACCCACTGCTTAAATCTTGTCAAGATTTTGTCCTTTAACTATTTTGCTTTTCTTTTCTCAATTTCTCCTTTGATTTTGACTTTTCCCCCTTCTCCTCTATTTTTCCAGGAAAAAAAATTACTCCTGATTCGCAAAAACAGCCAACATAAACCCAAGAGTCAAGGAAATAAATATACTGTATAAGTGCTAAAATGTTTATTACTAGAAGAATAGAATGAATACCCATAAACAGAAATAATAAACAATATATGTGTGAATGTATAAAATGATAAGTAAATTCAGAAACTTATATTACATAAACAGAAGGTTATATATGTAAATCTTCAACATACATCAAGTAGCAAGAGCATGTTGTACAAAACACACAGCTCAAGGGCACAAAGGCCAAGCATTTTGTTAAAGACTCTATTCAAGTTGTAAATTGTGTAGAAAGCATTTCAACTAAAGTTGTCTTCCTCAGTGGCCAGCTTTTTACCGCTTAAAATCTTCAGTGCTTTCCAGAATTTATTTCAATGTAAAAGGTCAAATTCTGTATCGGGGGAGGGGGGAGTCTTCCTTCTTCAGAGGTTCTGAACTGCTCTTGTATGGAAAGGCATTGAAGATGAAGGCTATCGGGATTTCCCCCATTTTACTTTGGCTTTGGATCACCATAGGGGATTCAGAGATGCTCTACCGCTGTTCCTGGGATTTACTTGTTATTTTATCCAAAACTCACACTCCTGTTACCATTTCTGTTTGTGATTACTCCCATGTTATTGCGTATTTATGAATATTCCAGAATGTATATATCTGTTTCCTTGACTCATGGGTTTACGTAACTATTATACCTTTCCCCAAGGAGTATCCAATGGTTTATGTAGTTGTTTGTACTCTGCCCTCATATATCTTCACAATAACTCCATTTAATTATCCTTATGGTCCATGACCAGCAAAAGACGTTGGACCTAATACAGATTGAAATTATAAGACAATCACAACCCTAGTACAAAGGAAGAGATAAAGGAAAGTTATAGCTTAAAAATCGTTACCCATTAAATCATTACGTATCTTGCATGCAGTTGCATAGTAGCTCAGGTTGCCTACCTCTCTCTCCCAGAGTTATCGCCCCACCACCGGGCCTTCTCACTAGCTAGATGGCCTGCTCTTCTCCCAGAGGTATAAAAACATCCCTACGGCAGAGAGGGTCTGCCTTTGCAGTGATGGCGTGGTAGAATCAATCGCACACATTATGTTACACTGCTGGTTCTATCATGAATAGGGTTGCCAGACATCCGGAAAAGGGAGGACATGTCCTGCTTTCTAAGCGAAAATCCTACGTCCGGCAGGCAAAGCTAAAAAGCTCTAAAATGTCCAGCATTTCTACCTGAAAATGTAAATCCCCTCTCCCTCCCTCCTTGGTTGTAAGGCATTTGTAAATCCTCCCGGCAGCGGCTTGTAAATCCTCCGTTCTGATGGTTCTGATCGGAGATAAGCCAGTTTAATTGGTCCCCCGCTGTGCAACTGAGCCGGGGCAATCAGTGACTGCTTCCGGGGGAGGTGACTGAGAGCACGAGGGAAACTTCAATCAAGGAGGGAAGAAAGGTGCGAGAGAGCTTGACAGAGGCTTGTCTAAAAGTAAGATTGGGGAAAATTTAGGGAGGGAGGGAGGATGTATGTGAGTGAGAAAGAGACTTAGTTTTATAAAATCATGAAAAAAAGGTTGTGACTGCAAGGGAGAGACGGCTCAAAGGTGCGAGGGAGGGATGGGTAGAAAGGGACATGAGAGGAAATGGACATAGTGAACTGAAGCAACTGATTGTTTGAACATTGAGGAAGGGTTTGTGTGTCAGAGAGAGAGGGAGGGAGCGGGAGAGGGAGAGAGAGACTCTCACACACAGAGACTTGACTTTTCCATAAAAGCATGAAAAAAGGAACATTGCAAAATTTAATCTCCATTGCATTTAGCTCTTCTGAGAACAGCAAATATTTCAAGGTAGTAATTGTACAATTAGCTGTTTAAGTAATGTTCTTTGGTATTTTGAAAAAAGCCTCCATTGAATTTATTTTTATTTTTTTAACATGACTAGTTCTTGGTCAGTTCACTAAGAGACGTTTATTGGCAGGAATTGTAATAAAATTGTATTGATTGCGGGTTTAATGTGGATTCAAATGAAACATTCAATATGTCCTCCTTTGTCCTCCTTTTTGTCTTTCTATGTCCTCCTTTTGGTACCAATGTATCTGGCAACCCTAATCATGAACCACATGTTGCATTTATTCACCCCTCTGCTTAACCGGTTCTTGGGCTGTCCTGAAGCAACAATCTTACACCAACTACTTTTAGTCCTCACTACCTTCAGGTTAAGCTGTAAGATGACGTGAAGTGGCTCAAGGTGATCATTCAAGGGTGCACAGAGTTTTGAACCTAGGCCTCTCCTGTCCCAGTCTGGTCTCTCTCACACAATACCTGCTCTCTTACAAATAAATTCAGTTTTAATTATCATTGCTACCACCACTGCTCAGTTTACTTTTTTTTAAATATGTGAAAGCAAAAAAAAAAAAATCGGTTTTTATCTGACCAAATTTTATGTGTGGAAGGAGGATATTAATGATTTGGTGCCTTGTTTGCCGTTCTTTCTGCCTCCAGATTTGTAATCCGTCTTCGCTAACTCTTCATCACCTTCTTTCTCTCCCCCCCCCCTTTCTTGTTCCAGTTAACATTTTGACTGCCATTGCACTCTCCCGGCTGGCTGCCCGCACCCAAAAATCCTCCTACTGGTACCTCCTGGCCCTCACAGCTTCCGACATCCTAACTCAGATCTTTGTTGTCTTTGCGGGTTTCATCCTGCAGTCAGCCATCTTGGATCGCCAGGTTCCGGGCGCTTTTGCCCACACCATCAATGTGTTGCAATTTGCAGCCAACCACGCCTCCATCTGGATGACTGTGCTCCTGACTGTGGACCGTTATGTGGCAATTTGTCACCCACTGCAATACAGAGCTGTCTCCTACCCTGAGCGCACCCAGAAGATCATCGGTGTCATGTTTGCTGTGTCACTGGCCACTGGGATCCCTTTCTACTGGTGGCTGGATGCTTGGCATGATGTGTACCCACCCACCACCATGGACAAGATACTCAAGTGGCTGCACTGCTTTATCATCTACTTCATACCTTCTGGCATCTTCCTGGTGACCAATTCAGTGATTATCTGCAAGCTCAAGCGCTCAGGTGGCCCAAACCGGCGTCTCAGCAAAACCACGGCCATCCTATTGGCGATCACCACTGTCTTCATTATCCTCTGGGCGCCACGAACATTCGTCATGATCTACCACCTCTACATGATCTCGGCCAAGCAAGACTGGCGAGTGCATCTGGCCCTCGATGTCGCCAACATGGTAGCCATGCTCAACACTTCCCTTAACTTTTTCCTCTACTGTTTTGTCAGCAAGACCTTCCAGCTCACTGTCCAGGAGGTGTTGGTGTCTTGGAGGCTGCCTTGCACCCCATCACCAAGGAAGAATGGCCCCTTGGACTCATCTCTGAAGCCAGTAGGGGTCTTGGATGGCACCTCCGTCTAGGGAAGATGATCTTCCTTCTGCCGTTGGCTCCAGCTTTGCTGAATGACTCCACACTGATTTTCTGGAACAGATAGTATGGATCTAGACTAGGTTCATTAGGTAACAGCATCAGAGAGTCAGACGGACTGATCAATGAGTGGGCGCACACGTTCCAGAGCTTAGAAATGTTACTTTTGGGGCATACTGCCTGGAGGATGCTGGGAACAGTAGTCCAATCACTGCTCTCCCTAAGTCCAGAGCAGTGTTGCAGGGCAATCTTTTAAGATCCTCCCACCCCAAGTCGGTTTGGTATAGCAAATCACATAAACCTCTCTGATCTGGTGGGGAATTATTAGTTATTTACTTGGCTGTTGTTGAATTTTCACTACCTCATGTGACAACACAATACGGCTGGTGAAATCATTATATGCCTTGACCTGAGTGTGTGTGTGTGTGTGTGTGTTTATAAGGGGGGAGGTAGGTACCCTTTGCTGCTCTGCCTAAGCAACAACACTGGGAGGGGGCAGTCCTTTTAGGAAGTCCTAGAGAAGATGGACAGTGAGAGAGAGAGAAAGAGAGGAGGAGGAGGAGGAGGAGGAAGAAGAGAGACTGGGGGAGGTAGGTACCCTTTGCTGCTCTGCATAAGCAACAACACTGGGGGGGGCAGTCCTTTTAGGAGGTCCTAGAGAAGATGGACAGTGAGAGAGAGAGAAAGAGAGGAGGAGGAGGAGGAGGAGGAGGAGGAAGAGGAGGAGGAAGAGAGACTGGTGATACCAGAGAAACTATGCAACATTTGTCCTGAGGAGTGGAACAAAACAGGCAGCTTGCTTTATGTCAGCCCTGGTGATACCAGAGATACTATGCAACATTTGTCCTGAGGAGTGGGACAAAACAGGCAGCTTGCTTTATGTCAGCCTTCACCAACCTGATCCAACAGACCTGGAGGGCACCAAGTGGTGGCAGGTTGCTTTAGGGAGATTTCCTTTAGCTCTTTCTACACATAGGCCTAGGCCTAGCAGTTCCAGTATGATTTCTTATCCCCATTTAAGGGGCAGGGGCACAGATTCTCGGGCAAATTCAACAATAGGAAAACTTTGCTAAGCCACAGACAAATTTTAAAATCAGAAGCAATGTGCACTGTTTGTTTGTTTATATAGTGTTCTTCTCTCCAGAGGACCCAGAACAATATATTGTGTGCGCGTGCGTGCGTGCGTGCGTGCGCGCGCACGCACACACACACACACACACACACACACACACACACACACACACAGATTCAGTAAATGGCAGGGCTTCCCTGCCTAAGGGATGCTTGTGTTTTTCAACTTTAAAGGGTCCCTTAAATACACCTACTCTTAAGTAGTACAGCAGTAGCACAACCAAAACAACAATGCTTTCTCTTCTGGGGGAGGAATTCTAAGCACTTCACCAATTATGGCACTGGTATTATCCAATAGTACCAGGACCAGCCAAGCCAAGATGGGCCGGGTAACTTGAAGAGTCTCAGGGCCACACATGCTCCCCAAGACCTCACAGAGTTGCTGCAACCTTGCACCCATCACACTTCCTGGCATCTCTATTTTTTTTAAGGTTCATCTCAGGGATATGGGGAGTAACTTCCCTGTTTTACTGAATACATACAAAACAATACATTCAGTGCTTTCAATATGTGCACCATTAAGGAAAAACTGAGAAATATTCCACTCTGCAATATTGGGATGCCCATGAAAAATGCTAAAATAATCTGGCCTATCACACTCTGGAAGCACTACCAACACTTTGCAGTTAATCCAGAAACATGGTACAGTATTTAAATTTCCCCAAACATTTCATCAGACGGAATGAGAAGGAAACAAATAGAGTTCATACATCTAAATGATGAACTCCAGGGACTGAATTCAGTCTCTGGAAAAGCAGAGAGCCGAGAATCGCTGAAGAGCATCAAGAGAACTGAGGAGTGGGGAAAGGACAAGGAAGAACGGGGGCCCAAGAGTCTCAAGGGAGGAAGGAGCACGGCCAATCAGTCCCAGAAACAGGGCACTCCATTCCACACTTTCAAGTCTGCAGACGCTCTTCCCGCCATCACACACACCCCCACCTGCTCACTTTTGCTCCCATAATATTTGCCTTCGGGTGGGTTTCCCTGGGTTTCTTTTTCTCTCTCTGAAAAGCTCCTTTCACGCCCTGTTCTGACAGCCGGCCTTGTCTGGCTGCCTCCCAACTGGCTCCAAACACCACTGCCTGGGAGAAAGGCTGGCTCTGTCCTGCCAATCCGCCAGGCTCACTTACCTATCAACTCCATGCTGTCCTGGGCAGAGCAAAGCTTGGCCAAGTTACCTTTTGGGACTACAACACCCAGAAACCCCTGGGACTTGTTGTCCCCAAAATAACTTGTCCAAGCTCTGGCACAAAGACATAAATGTAAACTTCAAACACCACATATATACATAGAATCATAGAGGTGGAAAGGGGCCTTATAAGGCCATCAAGTCCAACCCCCTGGTCAAGGCAGGAATCCAAATCAAAGCAGATCTGACAGATGGTCGTCCAATTTTCTCCAGCATAGGAGCTCTCACTACTATACTCCCTATGTTAGTTGGTTCCATTGTCATACTGCTCTAACTTAGGAGCTCTCACTACTATACTGTACTCCCTATGTTGGTTGGTTCCAGTGTCGTACTGCTCTAACAGCTAAGAGGTTTTGCCTAATATTCAACCAAAATCTGATTTCCTGTAACTTGAGCCTATTGTTGTGTGTCCTGCACTCTGGGATGATCGAGAACAGATCCTGCCCCTCCTCTGTGTGACAACTTTTCAAATGTACTGTATTTGAAAAGTGCTGTTGTATCTCCTCTCAGTCTTCTTTTCTTAAGGCTAAACATGCCCAGTTCTTTCCCCCATAGGACTTGGTTCCCAGTCCCCTGATCATCCTTGCTGCCGTCCTCTACATGCACAGACATTTCTCCATGTTCATATATACCTGCCTGAGTGAGGATTGTGCCAGATTTGAAGGGGATCTGGTCAAGGTCCCCTACCTCCCCCCCCCCCACAGCCACCCCGGTAGAACCCTGTTCCCTTCTCTATCACCTTAGCACTGATGTGCATTCCCACTGCCGCCACAAGAGGGCAGAAGAGACAGAGTCAGAAAAGGGTTAGGAGGAGGGTTGGACAATACTGTAAGTTTAAGATAGGGCGGCTCGCCCTCCACCGGCCGGCCCTTTCCCACAAGCCTTCGTTGTCGTTGGGCTCCTTAGAAACGGAGGGAGGTGGTGGCAAACTCCCGTGCTTTTCAATTGAAGATATTGCCTTCAGGCCTGGTTGCTGAAGATAAACATAAAAACTGGATCTCCCCGTGACTTTAAGTAAATAAAGCCATCCTGCAATGTTCGATAGAGCGTGTGTGCGCGCGCATTGTTTTAACCTGAGCTTGACAAAGTTAATTTTGTAGACTGTGCTTCCTTAAATTACTTCTCCTGCAGTTCAAGGTTATAGATTTTGTTAACTGGCTCCTGAGTGAAATGAGTCTGTGAATACATCATACTAGCCACTTTAAAAGTCTTGATCTTGACCAAGCAGGGATTCAAAAGAAACAATCAGCCTCATAATAGGGTGTGATTGGGAAGAAAGACACGTTCAGCTCCTGAGCATGGCTGAAAATGTATTATTTGTGCAAGAGAAACAGGCTCTAAGAAGAAGATGGCTGAGACTTGGCCAAAACTATAGATTTTTTTAAAAAAAGTCAAATCCTTCTTCACAGGACTCAGCATCTTATCAGAAGATGAAACCCTGCCTCACAGGGCCATTTGAGACGACTGCTTTCATTGCACAACACCACCTCTGTGCTTTAAACAATCAGGCTTCATTTCTCCTGGCTGCTGTCCCCATCTTTGGCAGATTTCAAATACCTGCTTGCCAAATGTAGTTGCATTTCCAAAATTCCAGGCCACGTTCCAGAGGTTGACTGCTGCCCCTTTAATACACTGGGCACCTTTCACAGGAGACCAGAGGAATGGGGTGGGGTGGGAAGGAAGGAAGCCCACGGCAGAGAGTACCCAATGAAAAAAAGCTGTATCAGCCTGTACCTGCTGCTAGGATTCATATTCCCCCACCCGATGCCAAAATAGCTGCTCCCTTTGGTGTGAATCAAGGCCCCCTTTTTTGCCAGTCTTTGAATGTTAATCAGACACAATGGAAGCCAGTCCCAATCACATATTCTGCAATATTCAAATATAAAGACCTGGTGTGACATGGAATCAGTTCCCTCCCCCACCACCCCTCACCCTTACCTGCCCACAACCTCAGCCTTTTCCCACACAAAGCGTGCCGCCCTCCCTCGGCCACCGAGTGGCAGCTCTTCCCACCCTAAGCAAAAGCTGACCTTAGCTGCTGAGCAGAACGCCAGGAAGTGGAAGTAAATTCCAGCCTATTTTGCGATGGTTGTATTTCCATTGCTAGGAATGAGAGGGGAACGCTACCCACACGAGATTCTGTCTGCCTCGTGGGCCAAAAATACTGGCCGGGCTTTGGAGTTCTACGAACCTTGACTAGCTCACCGTGGCTGGAAGGGACACCCTTTGCTAGGCCGCCCTCAGGCAGCGGGATGGGCCGGAAGAATTTGGCTGGGAGAGGACATGTCCTCTGTAACACCTTCGGGGGTCCTCCACGTGCAGCATCTGCCTCTCAGCTTTGGGTCGACTTTGCTCCTGGATTTGTTCTCTAGACTTTGAAGCAGAAAAGTCCAGTATACAACCCTGTCTTTCCTACCATTGAAAAAGAAAAACCTGAGCTAATAAAGTCCCCACCAACCACTTCGACCTTCCCATAAACCCTTGGGGCATCGGAAGCCAATTAGAGTCACTTGGACAGCGGGAACAAAGGCGCAGCCGACTGCACTCAAAGCATCAGCCTGGCTTCCTGTGTTCTGCTTGAACAAAGGATTTCCTATTAGTATATTGATGTGCCCTCTGGTGCTTGCCGGGTTCAATGACCAAGCTCATAAGGCTGCCTTCTCCCCCCCCGCC